ATAAACCCAAATCCTACAAAGCAGCTAACTCAAATTACATCAATTTTACTATGTTTCCTTAAACCACTGACAACCCTCTCCCCCAGATGACACATATTGTTCTAGTAGCACCCATCACGTAGTTTATTATGGGTACTCTGCTGTCTACATTCATCCTCATCATCTCTCAGGTTATCGGGGGTGCCCGGAGGTAGGAATTACTAGAAGCGCTCGTAAAATCGTTAACACATCGCCAACACTAAACTACAAGCTAACGAAGAGTAAGCTGTAACCTACCACTTGTTATGTTGTGGTAACAATATGCAGAAAGTTTCTACAGATATGAACGATACAATACAGATAGCTAGAAGCATGCTTAAGTTTTTAACATGGTTGCAGGTGTCATTTGTAGTATCACTTGATCTGTAAACAAAATAAATAAACAACTTTTGATACAATAAACCACATATATAGATATCCTGTAGGTTATAACGGTGTTATTCATGACAAATGCGTAATGTGTTCATCAAATACATTGCTTGTTTTTGTTGTAGTTAGTGACTAGTGATTTGTTTGTCTGTTTGTTATTTATCGCCGCACTCATCAATATTCCAGCTGTATGACGGCAGTCTGTAAATAATCGAGTCGGGACCAGTCAATCCTGTGATTGATATCATGAGCATCGATCCACGTATTTGGGATACGATGACATGCATCAACCAAGTCAGCTAGCCTGGCCACCACTTACGACAAGCACAGTCGCCTTTTATGGCAAGTATGGGTTTCTGAAGACCCAGGATCGTCACGGGTCTAGTGACTCGTGACATGTTGTTCATATAAATCACATGCTACTTCTCTATAGTTGACAAGAACAACATGCGGAAATTCTTCAAATATGGCCCACAATATCGTGAACAGCCTGCTTTCAGTTGGGATCACAAATTTAAAATAATTTTAATGCTGTCGAAGCGCATGCCCTAAAATGGACTATTAGAGAGGATGAACCTGTTGAATGTCTTTCAGTCAGTGCGTGATGTTGTCATTGGAGAATGCATACTCTGAAAAGGGGCAAATAGAATTGGAATGCATCCAGTCTGTTCCAGTCAGCTGTGATGCCCTACATGAACAGTTTGTAGCTGTTCCAACTGACAAATAACATAATCATTATATGTAAGCCTAAGAACATGAATTGTTTTATCAAAGACCTTGATATAGGTGACAGATCAAATATTGCCAAATATCTGCCGAAACCATGCATCAATACTGTCAACTTTTAGCTTAACCCTAAAACCTTATGACATCTCCTTTCCTCTCTAGTTCTGGATTCCAAAGCACCATAAATATCATCACAAAGAGAGATATTGCAGGGTCCAGCAAATAATAATAGTCCACTTGTAGAGAGCCACACACGCAAGGTATGCTCGAGGCGCTACATTAGTATTATCTTGATAAATGGATCAATGTGCACTCGATTTGCATTCTCAGCTCCCTTGGGAGTAAACAAGAAGGTTAACAGTCACGTTAACATCTCATCCTACCGGGTATCCATTCCCTGCTGGGTGAACAGAGGCATATTTTGAACAAAGTCACTTGCCCAAGGACACACTGCATTTTGCTACATATGCTTCAGTCTGTGGCAGGACTTGATTTGTCAAAAATAAATGCAAATGTCATCTGAAATCTACCGTGAAAAAAGAGATTTATAGCCGAATGTGTTTCCGTATTGTAAATATCATATCATGATGACGTCACAATCAAATGACATAACTAACGTCTCTGCTACTAAAGCTGGTTAGCAGTACTTTCCACAGTACAGTACACTGGTCATTACTGTTAAGGACTGTCACGCGAGATGGCATCTAGGTTAGGCACGTAGGGCAACAGGGAAATGTTTGTGTCTTTTAGCCGAGGTCACATGTAGTGAGCCATTAGATATTTGACTTGCGACTATCGAGACAGATGCTATATAGAATTTAGTGTTTGTTTGTTTGTTTGTTGTTTATCGCCGCACTCAGCAATATTCCAGCTATATGACGGAGGTCTGTAAATAATCGAGTCTGGGCCAGACAATCCAGTGATTGACATCGTGAGCATCAATCAACGCAATTGGGATACGATGACATGCATCAACCAAGTCAGCAGGACTGGATTTGTCTAAAAACAAAACAAATGTCATCTAAAATTAACCGAGAAAAGGAGATTTATAACCGAATGTGTTTCCGTATTGTAAATATAATATCAAGATGACGTCACAATCAAATGACAAAACTAATGTCTCTGCTACTAGGTGAGGTGAGGTGAAATAGGGTTTAACGTCGCGTCCAAGATTATTGCACTTATATAGTGACGTGCATGTACGTGTGTGTGTTTGTCTGGCTGCTTGTACTAGTCCCAACTGATGCCGATTTATAGTGCTAGCTCACTGAGATACCATGCCGCAGATTAACATGAATACCCCACTCAGACACAGCATACTGACTCCGAGCCGACCAGTCCTCGTTTTAGCCCGTTAATGCCGAGCGTCAGACAGGGTAACAACAAGTACCATCTTTTAACGTCTTTTGGTATGACGCGGTCGGGGATCGAACCCCGGACCTTCCCCTCTCCAGGCGGACGCTCTACCACCAGACCACGGAGGCGGTCTCTCTGCTACTAAAGCTGGTTAGCAGTACTTTCCACAGTACAGTACACTGGTCATTACTGTTTAGGACTGTCACGCGAGATGGCATCTGGGTTAGGCACGTAGGGCAACAGGGAAATGTTTGTGTCTTTTAGCCAAGGTCACATGTAGTGAACCGTTAGATATATGACTTGCGTCTATCGAGACAGATGCTATATAGAATTTAGTGTTTGTTTGATTGTTTGTTTGTTGTTTAACGCCGCACTCAGCAATATGCCAGCTACATGACGGAGGTCTGTAAATAATCGAGTCTGGACCAGACAATCCAGTGATTGACATCGTGAGCATCGATCAACGCAATTGGGATACGATGACATGCATCAACCAAGTCAGCAACTATATCGTGCTGACTCAGGGGTTTGAGTATAAAACTCTCTCTACTATATGTTGAGAAGTATGCCTGAACGTGTCACCCGTGTGCAAAATACGCATAATGGAAAGCGCAAGTTAAATCTCCAACAGTAAGTGAACGCGTTACTCGGCGGCCATGTTTAAAGTGTATGAACGACTCGAGGATGTCTGTGTGAATAAATTATATGTTTATTCAAGACATGTTTCTGTTCATTATGAAGAGTTGTGATACAACACCTTATGTCATGTAAGGCTGTTGTATAAAGCAAACCTTATGTCCTCCTTCTTTGACTCAACCATATCAGGGCTAACAGGTATAATGGGATACACATGTTTGGGTAAACGGGAACACTGAACAAATTTCGCATTTGATCTCGTCACCAACCAGCTCACATAGTCAATACAAGGAAGTATGAACTATTTTATATGTTATTTCTATTTTGACTACAACATGTGTCACGCTTGTCGAGAGGCTTCCTCGTGTTTATCAACTGGTGCATTTTTGTGAGCTTGTGAAAAGGAAGTTTTACATTGTATCAAGCTCAACTCTCTATGTGTAAAATACATGAGTACACATGACTAAGCTATCACATGGTTTTACCGTGACTGCCATAATTATCAAAAACACACGAGTAGATAATGACATTTCTACATTTAGGGTGGTCGGGTAGCCTAGTGGTTAAAGCGTTCGCTCGTCACGCAGAAGACCCGGGTTCGGCTCCCGACATGTGTACAATGTGTGAAGCCCATTTCTGGTGTCCCCCGACTTGATATTGCTGGAGTATTGCTAAAAACGGCGTAAAACCATAATCTCTCACTCACCCATTTCTGCATTTAACTATAACTGCACACTAAATTGAATGAGTGAGTGAGTTTGGTTTAACGTCGCAATTGTAGATGTGTTTTCTGGTGTTTTGAGGTGCAGTATGTCATTATAGTTTAATCCATTTGAAGGTGTTCAATGTTTGGTGAGGGAGTGAGTGAGTTGGGTTTAACGCCGCTTTTAACAGTATTCCAGTTGAATCACAGCGTGTCAGCTTAATGTGGGAGGAAAGCCCGAAGTGATGCAGATCTCAGACGTTTACCACTTCGGTGAAACCCATGGGCATGGGTAACGGTGATGACAAACCTAGACACATAATCGATGCGAACCAGGATTCGATCCCCCAATCAAAGGTTTCTGGTGTACTCAAGGGACGCAATTTTGCACAGCCAATCGCGGCGCCTAAGACGAGTGGGCTACCCGTGGTCCCCACTAAATAGAAACTGAAACACATTACATCACCGTCACCGTGCTCTAGCATGAGAAAAAGGGTTATACACATAAAACAAAAGTTGAAAGATGAACAGCTAAGATTAAATTGCAGGCAAGTCAACTTCAACATAATTAAACATCATAAATATTGAAGCTGATACACATGGATCACATTGTGTTCTAGTACTGTACTGACTTGTGTCTAGGGAGCCAGGTATGAAACCGTGAGCCAAAGAAACAAGGCATGAATGAACAATTACTTTTCTCTGATATATATTTTGGTAAACTGAGCACATTCTAATGTTGCTTCTAATGTTACTCAAGTACGTCACATGGTACTGACGCCTGAGGTTTGGAAAGCGGCAAAACATACACAAATACACGCTGAATAAATTACACTCTTTTATGGGTGACGGGCAATTGCTTAAACCACATGGCTTACACAACCGCGCCTTGTGTCGATGACAATGTGTGTGTGTGTGGTAGTGCGTGCGTGCGTGCGTGCGTGTGTGCGTGCGTGCGTGCTTGTGTGCGTGTATGTGCATGTGCGTATCGATTGAAAATAGCAGTATGTGCGTCTAAAAGTTGTATCGATGAAAGCTATCCTTATTTGCGTGTTGCAGCGATGTCAGGTAAGACAATCTTTCCTGCAAACTTAGTTTTGTCCTTGTTTTGCAGATAGCCAGTATTGACATGCGTTAATTTCCCTACAAATATTGCAATAAGGCAAGATCAGTTGATTAAACATTTATTATCAGTCTATCGACACAGATGCTATAAAGAAATTTACTGTATATTCGTTTGTTTCTCAAATTGAAGAATGCTTGATCGCAAATCGTCAGCTGCGATCCTAAGCTGCCTACCTTCAAATGCCTGGTTCAAATCCACCCCAGGATGCTATCATAGATACATCACTGTAACTGTAAACTGTCGAACATATTGAAGGTTGCCAATTACTGAGTATTCATGATGGCTAAAGCGATTCAATCCTAACTTTCTTTCTTGGAATCCATTGGACATATGAATGTGACATTCAAGTGATTTATTTCATAGGTTCTTTTATAAAAGGCTTAAAATAGGCAATATCAGTATCATAAATACAAAGAGCATGTCCTCACTACAATTGTGAATTGTCAGAAGCGTACGTCAGAAGGAAATAGAAACGAAATAAGAAAGGTTTAAAATACATTCATTTATCTCTTTGTATCAGTTGAAGTATTAATACATAAAAGGAAAGACCATGAGTGATAATTTCGACCTCAATGTCCTGTTATTTTGTTTATGTTGTGAAAGTTCACTAACTGTCATGTGTGTGAATAGTACAATCAGAACCGACACTAACATATATCATCAACAAACGCTTGAAACAATTATTAATTTACGCGGTTTTTTTAATGTCAGCTTATAATGTTAGTTTTTCCACTGAAGTGACTATTCAAAGTCTACAAATAAAATATGACATATATATTCATATATGACATACCCATGTACCATCCAAAATGATTATGTGATACAATTTGCAATAAAGTTTAAAATGTTGCATATTCCAGATTTCCTTGTTAAGTTAATTTCGATATTTCCATTTCAGTACTTGAAAAAGAAACCTTTGAACTGGAATTATTTAATAACCCTGTTCTAAACTTTATCTGTATGTATACATATGATCCATTTTACCCATTTCCTTTTTAAAAAACAGCCAATTTCGTAGGAAACGAAAACTGGCACAATGAAAGCAAATATTAATCATCAAGAATAAAACAAGGATATCAGTGTGGAACTATTTACAGTAAGACAATGCGAAACCTATAGAAATCAATTAAATCGGATAATTGGTTAAAAATAAATCATAGAAGGCTTCCAGAGACCCTCACATAGTAAACGATGCCAAATAATAAATGAAAACAAACACAGTAATGACCACAGATGACAATTACAACAATGAAGGCATAAAAGAACTAGTTGCACCAATATGTACACATATAAACAAACATAATCAATATAAAACTGTTGAAAAGAAGAACCATGTTTGGAGGTCTGCAACTGCTACAAGCTATGTTCTATAATACTGTTAAAAGCGATAATATTTCATAAATGTTAATGTCAATGTCATGTTCCGCTTGATATATCGAAACAATGCATATGACCCGTCAGGGCCTCAAGCTTTCCTTGCATCGCACATCAGGGTAAACGTTTCCCTTTGGCTGTTCCCTCACATGTTACTGTGGTCTTCTGTAGAGGAAGCTGAAGGATTGACAGACATGTTGATGTGGAACTGTTCCCTCACATTTGGCTGCACCTGGTACAGTGGACGTGTGTAGAGGAAGCTGAAGGGTTGAGAAACGTGTAGATGTGGAACTGTTCCCTCACATTTGGCTGCACCTGGTACAGTGGACGTGTGTAGAGGAAGCTGAAGGGTTGAGAAACGTGTAGATGTGGAACTGTTCCCTCACATTTGGCTGCACCTGGTACAGTGGACGTGTGTAGAGGAAGCTGAAGGGTTGAGACACGTGTAGATGGGAAACTGTTCCCTCACATCAGGCTGCACCTGGTACAGTGGACGACTGTAGAGGAAGCTGAAGAGTTGAGACACGAGTAGATGTGTAACTGTTCCCTCACATTTGGCTGCACCTGGTGCAGTGGACGTCTGTAGTAGCAACTGAAGGGTTTAGACAGGTGTACATGGGGAACTGTTCCCTCACATTAGGCTGCACCTGGTACAGTGGACGTCTGTAGAGGAAGCTGAAGGGTTGAGACACGTGTAGATGGAAAACTGTTCCCTCACATTTGGCTGCACCTGATGCAGTGGACGTGTGTAGAGGAAGCTGAAGAGTTGAGACACATGCAAATGGGAAACTGTTTCCTCACATAAGGCTGCACCTGGTACAGTTGACGTCCATAAAGGAAGCTGAAGGGTTGAGACACGGGTAGATGGGAAACGGTTCCCTCACATAAGGCTGCACCTGGTACTGTGGTCCTCAGTAGAGGAACCTGAAGGGTTGAGACACGTGTAGATGTGGAACTGTTCCCTCAGTAGTCGCTCATAATCATGCATGGATAAGGCATCCTCGTCGTTGATGGTAGCACAAGGTGCTTCACTGATGTCACAGGATAGTCTCTCGCCCACCACAGTGAGATATTCACCAAATCTATAATGACAAGGTAAAACGTATATCACAAACTGTACCTTGCATATGAAATTGACTTGCACAGACAGTGAAGGATACATGTATGTTGTTTAAATACGGCTGGCAATACAACCTATTTTATGATGAAGGGAAAGAAATTATCCATCTCCGACTTAAAACAAACACAACTTAAAAATTGTCCAACCCTTCTGTACAAAACATACATAACATACAGTCATTTGAGTAATTACGATCACAAGATACAAATGAAAATAGAGCTATTGTTTTATATAACTATTGTATTATCATTGTCTCAGGTAACTCAAAATTATGTTGCTTCACATTAAATAGAAACAGGAGAAATATCGGTGAGAGTTTTCCAACGATATGAAGTTACCCCGAGACCTAATTATAACATACAACTCAAGGATTTCACCTGCAAAAATTCAAAATATATGTACCTTCTGCTGTGACCATCTGAAAATAAAGAAACGTTGTACGTGTCAAATTCTTTAACGAATGAAACTTCGCGCAAAACATATATTTTCACCAAAAAAAGACAACACTGATAAAACAAGACTTCAGCATTTCTAGATACTTGACAAAAGGTGAACTTAAGGTTGATTGAATTGTAAGAGATTAATTTGTTCCCTTACCTTTTACGTCCTTGCAGACAAGAATAGCAACTGCTGCCACCACAACTGCCACAGCCGTGAGCATAACAGAGTAGGCAGCTACAAGAGGGGCGATGTCGTCTACGTTCACCTCTTCTGGTGTAAGACAAAAGTTACACACATGTATAGTCAATACGATACTTCACGGGAAAATGTCTACCGTGCAGAAACATATCCCAAACATTAGGGATTAATTTCGTATGAAATGACAATGCGTATGACCAATACAACTATCCGTTTCTCGAACATTGCGTTTTACATAACCCAGGTTATGATTCACGATGGCTCACTTATATGTTTAAAGGTGTCATCAAGAGATCATATTATGGCTTTTAAAATAACACGATATGACTTTGGGATGTCTGCTGATATATGAAGACTATTTAACCTATTAACCAAGGGATTTATGTGCATTTTAGGTAATCAGGTTATCATTTCGCATAAAAGTATAATTAACATTTGTTTAAATATATTTACCTAAAATGCAGAACAGTAACATCTATAAAACTCGTTCACAAATATAAAAGAACGTTCGCATATATGTATTCTAACGGAAAAAAGTAACTGTGCTTCATATGAAGTGATGTAAATGTTACATAAATAAAAATTGAATATTGTTTGGACATTCGTCTGACCAATTTTTTATCATAACAAATTCGTTCACAAAACCCATAATTGGGAAAAGGAGACAGAGAAACACGCCTTAAAAGAGGGATGATGTAAACACTCAATTAACAACGGGGTGTGACCACCATTTGCGTTTATGCATGCGAGGCAGCGACGACGCCTTGAAGACGCCAGATGATTAAATACGGCCTGGGGATGTTGTTCCTAATGTCAAGCAAATATTGTGCTCCCTGAATCGGCTGCTCACCAGTTGGTCTCAACCAAAGAATTGTCCGAGCTGTTCATGTGGCAGTTTGGTATCGATTCCGTCGATACACCAACCGAATTGCTTGTTTTGTTGACGTGAAGTCACATGTGACATTAGTGTTGCGCTGCTGTAGACAACGTCTCAATAGAAACAATATTGTCTTTCAGTGAACATGTAAGTATCTTCCAACTTCGTTTTGCGCCATTCTTGTTCGCGGCTTACCCACGGCACGTAGACGTTAATTTTATGAGCACTTGACAGCTAAACATTTATTGTGAACTGTTTACATTAAATAACACGTGTGCTCCCAACAAATATCCCAATTGTGCGCCGTGCATGACAATTCATGTGCAATTGTGAATCACGACATTAAAGTCAATGAGATGTCTTCATGGATATGTATTGAAACATGCATTATTTAAATTCAGAATAAATTAATTTTCAGTGAACTTTATATGAAACAAATTTATTTTTTACCCATTAATGTGTTTCCCTAATTATTTAATGTCCAGTGGCATTCCATGAATACCGTTAAGCAAATGATAAATATTTTCCTCTCGTCTTTTACAGTATGCCATCCTAGATGATTTGACTTCTGGGCCCACTTGCACAAAACGATCATAGTGCTACGACTATTGTAAGCCTATGTTAAAGTATGGTAGTTATGATCATCTTAGCGCTAAGATCCCTTTGTGCAAGTGGGCCCTGGTCTTAGCCTTTAGGCTTTAGACGGGAGACAGGTTGACTTATAATAAGTCGTTAGATCAGGACCCACTTGCACAAAGCAATCTTAGCGCTAAGACTATCGTAAGCTTATCTTAAAGTATGGGAGTTTTAGCGCTAAAATCGCTTTGTGAAAGTGGGCCCTGGTCATTACACCATCAAACCGGTAGACAACCTAAAGACACCAACCTTCTATCTCCTGGTAGCTTCCATCATTGTCCTCATCCCGGGCATATGAGATCACGCTGGTGACAATAAATATTAAAAAAGATTGAAATAAGAAACAAGTTAGCCTACAGATAAGCTGTGATACATTTTCAAGTAACATTGTGTTAAACAGCTTGTAAAAAGTTTCGCCGTTATGGCCACGCAAGGCCATATGAGTGTAACTTTTTATTCATTTCACTTGAAAATCGATGGCAGATACTCACCGATTTTGAATGGATCCTCCCTCTGAAAATTATAACGTTTGGCAGGTAATTATGCATACAAAATGCAAGATGAATAACAGATGACTCCTTGTCATTGCATACCTTTAAACTAATGGAAAAAAAGGTTGACGTATGCTGTGATATGTGACTCGTTTCCTCTTACGCGATTAAGAAGTTTAGATAAAGCTGCACTGGGGTAAAAGAGCCAGTGTGGCTTATGATTTTAAAAGGTCAATCAGTGCTTAACGTTTCTCAGAAGTCACAACTTGACGACAGAAACAAATTAATGTTAGTAATAATTTATGACGTAACAGTATGTCCATTAAAAGTTATCCAAATCAAAGAATACGAACTGTTTTCAAGAAACGGTTGATTACATTATTCATTAAATGATTCGCGATTACCCTGTAAAATTTAAGAAGCGTAATCCGATATAATTGCAATGGCGTTGAATGGCTAATTATTTTTTACGACACCAACCTTCTATTTCCTGGTAGCTTCCGTCTGTTTCCTCGTCCCGAGTATATGTGACCACGCTGAGGGAAAGAAATTCAAAATGATTTAAGCAGAAGGAACTAATCAAGGCAAACTAGTCATCAGATAATCTGTGATACACTATCAGTTTAACTGTATATATACGGTTTCATTCATCTGATTATGCAAGGTCAGTGACATGATGGACAGCATGTACTCACCGGTTATGAATGTATCCCCTCTCTGAAATATAGAAATGACTTTAGATAATTATGGATACATATTTCAAGATAAATAGAAGATAGACTAATTAATTATTTCATTGCGTATTTGTGAAATGATAATATATATTTATTTTATTCCATTCTTAACATCGTGTCTGACCTACTGTATTTACGAGAGTGAAACGTTATGCATATAATCTCAGTGGTAATACTCTTCCTTAAACGCTGGTGTCAGAATCACTTTCCTCACACAGACTTGGTTTTGAATATCAAGGACAGGGAAGCATAGCCGTCTTTTCGTTTATTCAAAGTCAACGACAAGGAAGAAACCTAAATAACTGATAAGAACCAGTAATATTAATAACAATGATGATCTTTACAATCCCCCTCCCAAACCAGACACACACTACCCTCAGCAAAACCGTCATTTTCATGTTGTTCTAATGGTATGACTCTGCGGTTAACAAAAACAACAATAACAACAACAACAACAACAACAACCTTACACAGCTATTCATCCCATTAAATAGTGAACACAACAATACCGTCCTTGTTTCGCGTATATCGTATTGTTCATTTTTTTCATTTTATTGATTCTACTTTAATATTGAGACTCGAACTATTCCCGCGTGATGACACACACACTTAGTTGTACACACCACATACCGTGATTACATTAAACTCCAGGAAGAATTTTAAACCCAGAATATCTTGTACAATTTAGGTCAGGAAAAATAATTGTTTCATTGACATGAATCGATCAGCTGAAAACAGGACTCATTCGTAGTTAACGAAACTGAAGGGCGGTTTCTGATATCTTGATGAATGGTCACAAATGTGAGCAACGGCCAACAATGCCTGGTGCAAACAACCAGTTCATTCATGTATTCATTAAGAAGATAAACCTAGGGTGTTTGATATAGAGCTTTCGAACGTAGATTTGAAACTTGTAACATATATTAGAAACCGAACGCGATAACTCTTTACACTCTCTAAATATTTGTTTTAACGTGTGTCTCCTGAAATATACTGCCACATTAACTGGTCATAATGTAGAAACCGCAACACGTTATTTAGCAACGTTAATGAAGTGAGATCCATATTTGAAATTGCCAAGCGGGCGGGTTTTCCCAAAAAGTGCTTCTGAATATTTTGTTCGCGGTAATATGGGCTTCATGGCCTAAAGTGGATCCAATACTGCTGGGGACCAATCAGAATGCAGGATTCTAAAATATTATGGAAGAATACTTAATGTGACTCTCACGTTGTGCTCATTCACACTCACACGACACAGTATTACCTTCACGTGTCTGTTTTCTACGAGCAAGAAATATGACGACCACAGCGGTGACGACGATCAGGACAGAACAGACAGCAGCCACAGAGACGGTCGAAGCGACGCCAACTCCAGTAACCTCTCGTGCTGGAACATTCAAGATGCAATACTCTCATGTGTGTGTGTGTGTGTTCGGCGCTTGATCCATATTGTTAAATGAATGGGAGTGGGTGGTACAATGAGAACGGCTGATCCTCGGAATATATCATACCACAGCTATTCTGTCTCTGCACATGTTTTGCCAGGTGTGGTGTTCTTTCTTGTTGTGTTTATCGGTATCCTTATACTGAATAAGCTATGTTTCACACGAAATAAGGTTGAATATTTATGTGTCACATGGTAATTTAAATAATGCATTAATGACATACTCGTTTCAATAATAACTCTGAAATTTCGCAACAACAGCGTTTACGGCAGCTGAAATAAATATATGTTTGCATGCCACTGACACTGTTACTAAAGTCTGTCGCTAATGTTGTAGGAGTCTTACAGAACACTTCCAGGGTCAGGTTCCGTGATGTGTTCCCATGTGTGTTGTTGACGTGACAGATGTACTGTCCAGACACAGATCTGTCTACAGCTGGTATATACAGCACAGCCTCCCTCTGTCCCGTGATCTCCCTCTGTCTGGATGTGTTCCACCAGGTAACAGTGCAGGCGGGGTTACAGTCAGCTGAACATCTCACTGTGAAAGGGTCACCTTCTTCTGCTTTTAGCCTGTCACTTGCACCGTTAAACTGTATCTGGTCAGGTCCATCTGGAATGTTTGATGTACTATTGCCAGTAGTTCCACACTGTATTACTAGCTAAACGGAAAATGCTACTGAACGTGATGGCGGTTCATACTGTGATGTACGAGTACAGTTTGGTTTTGTAATATATATGTAAATAGCGAATTAAACGTGCAGTTTGTTTCTGACATGTGTGTGACTACTGGAAATACACATGTGACATGGGCCAATGTTGTACAAGAGGGAGGGGTAGTATGGGGAAGGAGGAGTGAGTGAGTGAGTGAGTTGGGTATAACGCCGCTTTTAACATTATTCCAGTAATATCACGGTGTGTCGGCTTTATGTGGTACGAAAGCCCGAAGTGATGCAGGTCTTAGACGTTTGCCACTTCGGTGAAACCCACGACGATGGGAGCGACACCAGCTTTAGTAACCTCACCTGCTGGAACAATTAATGAATAACAAAAGCATTGTTTAGGATTCTAATGTTTCCGATATATAACACATGGAATAGGGAGCCACTTTAATTTGTAAATGTGGTGAACTTCAGCAAAATTGTCGCAAATCTTACGAGTTATCGGAACAGTTTCGTTTGTCGAATTAGGTAGTAAATAAACAATCGATTTCTGTCTTTAATACAGATCTTTGTTACATTGATTTTGAATGAACAAAAACGCTTTGCCATTTGAAAGAATCTCAAGAATCACATTGACGTGATGTCACATCATCAGAATAAAGTCAATATTACCTGTTTAAATGATTTATCATCTCTTTGGATTAGAGAAAGTTGAAATGAATGAAAATGAAATTGGTTATTACAGGAGTTATCCAAATAAATGTTATAGATTCTGACAATCACCAGCAATGTTGTATAAGTCTTACAGAAAACGTCCAGCGTCAGGCTCCGTGATGTATTCCCATGTATGTTGCTGACGTGACACGTGTACTGTCCAGACACAGATCTGTCTACAGCTGGTATATACAACACAGCCTCCCTCGGTCCCGTGATCACCCTCTGTCTGGATGTGTTCCACCAGGTAACAGTGCAGGCGGGGTTACAGTCAGCTGAACATCTCACTGTGAAAGGGTCACCTTCTTCTGCTTTTAGCCTGTCACTTGCACCGTTAAACTGTATCTGGTCAGGTCCATCTGGAATGTTTGATGTACTATTGCCAGTAGTTCCACACTGTATTACTAGCTAAACGGAAAATGCTACTGAACGTGATGGCGGTTCATACTGTGATGTACGAGTACAGTTTGGTTTTGTAATATATATGTAAATAGCGAATTAAACGTGCAGTTTGTTTCTGACATGTGTGTGACTACTGGAAATACACATGTGACATGGGCCAATGTTGTACAAGAGGGAGGGGTAGTATGGGGAAGGAGGAGTGAGTGAGTGAGTGAGTTGGGTATAACGCCGCTTTTAACATTATTCCAGTAATATCACGGTGTGTCGGCTTTATGTGGTACGAAAGCCCGAAGTGATGCAGGTCTTAGACGTTTGCCACTTCGGTGAAACCCACGACGATGGGAGCGACACCAGCTTTAGTAACCTCACCTGCTGGAACAATTAATGAATAACAAAAGCATTGTTTAGGATTCTAATGTTTCCGATATATAACACATGGAATAGGGAGCCACTTTAATTTGTAAATGTGGTGAACTTCAGCAAAATTGTCGCAAATCTTACGAGTTATCGGAACAGTTTCGTTTGTCGAATTAGGTAGTAAATAAACAATCGATTTCTGTCTTTAATACAGATCTTTGTTACATTGATTTTGAATGAACAAAAACGCTTTGCCATTTGAAAGAATCTCAAGAATCACATTGACGTGATGTCACATCATCAGAATATAGTCAATATTACCTGTTTAAATGATTTATCATCTCTTTGGATTAGAGAAAGTTGAAATGAATGAAAATGAAATTGGTTATTACAGGAGTTATCCAAATAAATGTTATAGATTCTGACAATCACCAGCAATGTTGTATAAGTCTTACAGAAAACGTCCAGCGTCAGGCTCCGTGATGTATTCCCATGTATGTTGCTGACGTGACACGTGTACTGTCCAGACACAGATCTGTCTACAGCTGGTATATACAACACAGCCTCCCTCGGTCCCGTGATCACCCTCTGTCTGGATGTGCCCCACAAGGTCACAGTGCAGGCGGGGTAACAGTCAGCAGAACATGTCACTGTGAGAGGGTCACCTTCTACTGCAGACACGTTGTCTCTGTTACCACTAAACTGTACCGTGTCTGGTCCATCTGAATAACAGAAATAATGTTATCATTTTCCTGTCATAACTGATGGCCACACAGCCATAGCTGTCCAGCTGTTGTCGTCATCAAGGTGATGCCAGGTTAGAATGACCGTCCCCAGCAACCTATGCTATTCGTGAGAGGCGACTTTAAAGATCGGGTGGCCGTGGTGGTCAGGCCCAGTGACTTGGTAGATAACCATCATTCGAGGACGTGGGTCGTAGTTCACAATTTCAATCACTGGTTTGTCTGGTCAAGACTGGCCGCCGTCATAAAGCTTGGATATCGCTGGTCTTTCAAGTGTAAAAGTCAGTATCGCTAGTGTTGGGGGTCACAAGGTCATGTACCATAAGTAGTCCGCCACAAGAATGAACCCAACTTTAGAGCGTTGTCGTCCCCAACCCTTGCCAGGATGGCCGAAGCAAATAACGGTTTTTACTTTGATCAGCCATAGGGTAAATAACATACAAGTCAACGAACTTGTCAGCAAAAACGCTGGCCCGCTGCATCCAAAAGCAATGTACGGTGACAACATGTCTTGACCATCCTACCGACAGCCTCTTCTAAAGTTCCTCGAACCATTTTATTTATCAAGCTTCAAGTTTCCATGGCAACCTTTCGCGAAATACCTAATTTTTGTTAGTGTTGCTCCTACTTTGATTTTGGTTGCCCATGAAAGTATTTTACTTGACACCATCTATTATAATTATAATGGTTGAACCAAGTTCAAAATTAATAATATCACAGTACATTGAACACATATGTTAGGCCCCATTACTGACTATACACCTAGGCCAAATTGCAATACATTTTGAAAGAAGAGGGACGATTAATAATCTTAAATGTGTTTCTAAATATGGTTGACGTCGTGGCCATGTGTTACATCGGATCGGAGTCCCAGGGCACTGTAGAAATATAAAAACTAAGATCATTGTAGCCTTGTAGATCAGAAGTAATGTTGAATATGCAAATGATACTGATGGACGGGCGGACAACTAATCACGCAATATGCCCACTGGACTTTCCGTCAGGTGGGCTAAAATCATCCATGAATTGCATCATGACTGCCATCTAAAGTAGAGAGTGTGAATACAATGCCATGTACGTACTCACGTACTCACTCACTGTACCATTGAAAGTAGAACAAGAAAGGGATTTCACAGTGTACATATTGTTTACCTAAAAGTCTACCTGTACACGGTATCATGTAGTTCCGTATATCCAGACATTTTACACAATGAAAAACAATATTAAACAATAGCATAAACGATATGCACCTTCTGTACACGATACTTTTAATATCAATTCCACACAAACTAACTAAGACTCACACAGAACATTCAGAGTGTATCCCTGACTCCAGTCTGACAGGACGCCCTCTTCTTCAGACTGACACGTGTAGACCCCCGCGTCCCCCTTGGTGACGTTGTCTATAGTCAGGACTGCCCCCTCCACGTGTACCTCGCTCTCCACCCTCCTGTTGTTTCTCCTCCAGGTGTAGGACGTGTTCAGGGTATACGGGTACAGAGACCGGTCTAGAGGAAGACTCCGGGAGGTGGAGGAGCAGGTCAGCATCACCGGACTACCTGATACGGGGTCGGCAGATGTCGTGCTGATGTTCGGTTGTGATGGTTTCTCTGAGAACAGTGTGAAAGAGAACTATCTAATAATTGTCTGCTCGCTGTATGACATAAAAGAGAACCTTAAGGTAAAGAATGTGTACACACACTTCGTCGGGACTCAAACCCACTTTTCACAACGTTAGCTGGACTGGAATATTTATTCGAATCAGTCAATGTGTCTGTAACAATCCCCCCTGGAAGATCCGGGTTTGAATTCATTCGTCTTGCATGAGGTGACTTGGTTGATGCATGTCATCGTACCCGTCTTACGTAGATCGATGCTCATGTCAGTCACTGGATTGTCTGGTCCAGACACGATTATTTACAGACCGCCGTCTTATAACAGGAATTTTGCTGAGTGCGGCGTTAAACAACAAACATCTTAAGATCATATGTGATTTTCTATCCATTTCTGCGAGAGTCAATAACTGTTTAGGGAATAAATACTGAATTTACAAATTAATGTCCAAGTACTTTTTACCGCCTCTGTGGACTAGTGGATAGAGCGTCTGTCCGGAGGACGGAAGGTCGGTGGTTCGATCCCCGGACGCGTCAGACCAAAAGACGTTAAAAGATGTTACCCTGCCTGGCGTGTGTGCACGTCGCTATGTAAATGCAATATTTTTTAACGCGACTTTAAACTCTATTTTACCTCACTTTACCTCAGTCATATGCATGTTTATTATTTTACTCAACAAATGCCAATATCCAAATCACTCTCTATGATAGATGTGGTTGTTGACAACAGATAGCAGTCACAGTTAGCCCATCCTCACTTATCACTTGTATTATGTCGCCATTCTTTTACCTTGATTATCGATGATATAGTTTGCCACACACACGTGTTCGAAGTATAAATGCCATTTCTGGTGCACTCCTCGCTGTCCTACCATGTCCCCACAGATCAATCTTAAACTCATAGGGCGGTCGGGTAGCCTAGTGGTTAAAGCGTTCGCTCGTCACGCCGAAGACCCGGGTTCGATTCCCAACATTGGTACAATGTGTGAAGCCCATTTCTGGTGTCCCCCGCCGTGATTGCTTGAATATTGCTAAAAGCGGCGTAAAACCAAACTCACTCACTCACTAAACTCATAATGGAAAACTCATCTTTAGTTGTGGATAAATTTACCCTTGCATCATTTACAAGTCAGGTACAATATTCCTTTCATTGTATTTCAAAAACGAGCGTTCAATATGGAATTGTCTATTTGGGCGATAAACTGATCATACTCAGATCATCTGGTTACTTACGCAGTACAATGAGAAGCTGAGTCCACGTGTTATCAGACCTGTCACTGTTGTAGGTAACACACTGGTACACTCCGGCGTCCTGCACGTCGACACTGTGGAATATGAGACTGACCAGCGTCCTTCCTTGCAGGGATGTTTTGACAGTCAGCTGAATCCTTGTCCCGTTCCCTGTATGTGTGTTGATAGATGTAAACACATGTGCATTGTCCTCCACGTCGAACAGGACCATGGATTCATCAGGCCTGAGCTTCCCATTAGGTCTGACAGACACAATCTCAAACTCCGGGACAGCTAGAAGTACATTCCAGGACATGTGGACTCTTTCCCCGACACGGGCAACAGTGTTGTTCTTGGAGGCTGAAACAACACATTAGAAACATCACTATGCAGTTGGTGAAGTCTAATGTACCTTCAGAACTGTAGGACAATACCCACTGTTTCAGATCCACCTTATGTTCACGTGTTTTCATTATTATTTCCCATTGTATAATTATGTAAAAGTATGTGAAAGGCTGAAACAAAACATTTGGAGTAATAATGCAGGATCTAGTTGATAAAGCAAATGTTGTCTTCATCAGTTTATTACAGTTTTACAATGACAAATGCAATGTAGCATGAAGTCTACCTGATGCCCGAAAGACATTTAAATGGAATACTTAGTGCCGGGCAGCCAAAGCAGTAAAATGTTCGCACACCCCGACGATAATGGTTCTTTCACAGGCCATCTCTTGTTTTATGTAGTCCGTCATTGTGTTGCTAAATTGACGCAAATATCCAAGTCACCAGCTACTCCCTAACATGTGTCTAGTGCTATTTGTATCATTTGTGACCCACCAGGCGGCAAGGGTCCTTATGAGTGATAGGATACACTTGTGCTATGACGACATAAAGACGTTTGACATCAACGTTTTTCAGGGTGTGAGTGAGTGTGGTTTTACGCCGCTTTTAGCAATATTTCAGCAATATCACACCAGAAATGCACTTCACACACTGTACCCATATCGGGAATCGAACCCGTGTCTTCGGCGTGACGAGCGAACGCTTTAACCACTAGGCTACCCGATTACCCGTATTTCAGGGGAGATAGCAACGTGTGCGGACTGTATGAACATATCTTATTCTTCTCACGTTAGTTCGTAATATGTGATAAAAACATTATTTCAAAACCATTCATCATATATGTCTACTTTCAGTTGATCAGACATTATGTCTAAAAACTGAATGATTACATAAACGGTTATACGTCGGAAAATGTGGCCAATGTTTGATATCATGTATCTGGATTTTTGTGCTCCGAAGACACTGAAGTTTTGAATTATAATGACAAGTCAAAATGTAATTTTATACCCACAGGGTCCCATTTTGCATGGTTGGTCACATTTATTGCTAATGCTTGTGTGCATGAGGATCCGGTTCAGAATAGGTCTTCAGCAACCCGTGCTTGTTGAAGAGGCGACTAACGGGAGCGGGTGATCAGGCTTGGTTGATGCATGTCATCGTATACCAATAGATTTGATGCTCATGATGGCAATCACTGGATTGTCTTGTCCAGACTCGATTTGTTACAGACCGCCGTCATGTGGCTGGAATATTATTGCTGAGTGCGAAAGAAACAAACAACTGTGAACTGTTGTGACCTTTTCGCTTTGAATTTTACATCCCGAATCTAATTCTATCGGAAGAGGCGACTAAAATGGATGACATCGTTGATTTCGTGTCATAGTGTCCCGGTTGCGTTGCTCATAGTATCAGTCACTGGTTTGCATGGCCCATTAAGCTGAGTGTTGCGTAAATCAAGTAACAAAAAATGGCCATTCTCTACAAACCAATACATGAAAAATCAGGAATAATTATTGGTTTTGAAATGTTACTTTGCTCATTAGACGAAGCTCTCATTCTTGATTCAAGGGCACAACGGAATGATCAGATGGTATCTGGAAAGGTAAACACTTACCAGCAAACTCCAAAAAAATTCCATACAGAATCACAGCTTTTAGACAACGAATATACAAAAACATTTTGATCACAGTTTACATGATCTAGTTTGATGGCTGACAGAAAAACTAAAATACTACATAAGGTTTTCCAAACTATTTGTGAGTCAGGAGTGTCATGAAATATTTCCGTGTAACAATGAATGGGTCAGCGCTCGAGGTGCTAACATTACTTTATGACGGAAATTGAAACAAGTGAATAGATTCATCTGCAAAAGCAATGCATCTGCCATGCATAGCGACACCAAATCTAAATACCTTCAATATGTGATACTGGCATCTCTTACAGTTTAAACTCTGTATGTCCTGCATTTGAAATTCGTACTTTGTTGCTAGATAATTTTATTTACACTAAATGTGGCAGATAAAGATCTATTCGATTGTGAATGACTGTCCCAGGCTTGTGGCTTACATTACAGTGAAGATTATGTAGTAACCAGTGAAGCAAACATTCGGATCGTATGTGTTTAGGAATAGTGGTGTTGTTTTGTGAGGGGGATATATTTTATTGCCTGAAACAATAATACTGTATTTAATACAGCATGGCGTGAAAAGTCCTTATCAATTAACCGGTGTGTAAAAAATACTTGCTTATGCAGCTAAAAACTTGGAACAGAATGTGTGATGTTTTATATTAATACTAATATGAAAGGTTATACGTTGTCTAAAACTGAAGAAGTATGTATGTGTACCGAGTGATGTCTTTGATGGTGTAGTATGAAGCGACAACATTGACAAGACATTCCCAAGTTATTTCAGAAGCACCGAAATGTGATTTGATGTATTGCAAATGTAAATTGTCATTCCGAGTTCATTATTCCTATCTATCAAACGAGTGAGTTAGCATGTTGGGTTTGACGCCGCTTTGTACAATATTTCAGTTATGTCACGGTGTGTCCGATTCATGTGTGTGTACAGGTAGTGGGCAAAAGTGAGCGTGATGCATGTCTGGGACGTTTACCATTTTGGTGAGACCCACCAGCACGATTGTGGTGATGACAAACCTTAAACCTCATGAGACAAACCTCAGAGTGAATCAGGGATTCGAAATCACGATCATAGGCTTCTGGCATGCCTAAGAGACGCAACTCTTCTTAGAATGTGCCCTAATAGAAACCTAGGTCACCCGTGTCCGCATATGATGAAAGAAACTACTTAGTCATAATATGTCACTGAATTCAGGTTATGCTTCATAGTTACCATATGTTTGTATTGTTCGCATATACGTATCTATATTCAAAACGGGAGCAGCTTGGAATGTTGCGTGTCATGTTGTTCATTGATCATTTAGCAATGGGTCTGCACCAGCACTGTTAACGAGTCTTTTCTGTTTCCATACATGATGATTTATCAGTCGTGCACTGATAGGAAATGTCTGGAGGACGTTTCGTAACACGTGACCTACATGCACACAACGACGCCATTCGTGAATATGCACACAAGAAACGGTAGGTTTGTTATTGTTCAATCCTTAAGTTTTAGTTCGTTTTATACAATAATTTCAGTCATATCAGTGCTGTGTAGTAATATGGGGTACCTTTAACAGGTATTATGGACTGAGCAGTGTAGTACTCGGGACGCAAATAAAAGCTATTTGGTACGCACATTGAACACTTAAAGAATAATAATGATATACGGAAATTATTATTTTCATAAACCTCTTTATAAGTATTTTGACAGGAATGTAACTTCAAATTTCACCTTCTATGATCTAGGAACGTTTTCTGTAGGTTTTCGTTCTGCTTGACACCATCGCTATCTGTGAAAAGTAGGGCTGAACCTAGTAGCTTATATCAAAACATGGCGTGTATATTCTCGACTTCATATATAGGACCCGTGAAGATCCGGGGTAGAATAGGTCTTCAGCAACCCATGCTTGCCGTAAAAGGCGACTATGCTTGTCGTAAGAGGTGACTAACAGGATCGGATGGTCAGGATCGCTGACTTTGTTGATGCATGTCATCGTATCCCAATTGCGTTGATCGATGCTCAAGAAAACAATCACTGGATTGTCTGGTCCAGACTCGATTATTTACAAACCGCCTTCATATAGCTGGAATATTTCTGAGTGCGGCGTAAAACAATAAACCAACCAACCAACTTCATGTATAGCACGTCGACAAGTTGGTAGAAACCAATAAATAAGCAAAGGCTATCTATGCTATATTGGCTGGTGCGAATCATGTTTCAATAATGGATGTTTAACCATGTATTGAATTTACACTGTTTATTGTCGGTACAGAAAATTGAATTTGAGGATGAAGTTATAAATCAGTTTAATCAATCCTGTCTCCTTTTTCAGTGGAATATCTGGCAATATGCCTCCACCTGTGGCTTGCTATTTCCTATTCAGGTATGTCGATTAATAAACTGATTTAAAATTACCTTTTGGTGAATTTGTCTATCTCTGAAGTCTTTCAGGAGATATTTATAAAGTAAAAATAATGACGCTCGCTGACAAACGGAAAAGTTTATTCAAGTGTCAAAATTCACCGTTTTGGAGTGTTGTTAAAACATTGTTACAGTTGAGGTCTGAATATAAGGACTTGAATAAGCTCACCTTTGCAAGATCAAAGGAGTTGGTAACAAACCACAGCCATGTATGATACATTTTCGATAGATGCTTGCATCAATTCTAGAAACATGTGAATATCCCAAATGTATATTGGAGTGTCATCAATCTGAGGCACACGTAAAATCTCTTTATTCGTCAAGCTTCTTCTGATCAAACAACACTGCCAACAATTAATCACATTTGTCAGCGAAGTATGAACATAAATTCATCCTGTTAACATGTATTTTGTGGTTGACATCGGTCATAATTTGATCTTAATGGAACCATGGGTTAAGACTTAGGTCCTCAGCAACCCATGCTTGTCGTAAGAGGCGACAAACAGGATCAGGGGGTCAGGCTCACTGACTTGGTTGATGCATGTCATCGTATCCCAGTTGCGTGGATCGATGCTCATGATTTCTATCACTGAATTGTCTGGTCCAGACCTGATTGTTTACAGGCCGCCGTCATAGAGCTGGAATATAGCTGAATGCGGCGTTAACAAACAAACGACTAAGAGGGTTTTTTTTAGTTTATAAGAAGAGATGAGGATACAGAGATACGTAATTCATGTCTGCACGAACGCGTCGACGTTGGGAAATGAATCAGTTGACAATGAAAATGCCATGCGTTACCTCCCTTGAGCGTGTAGGTATTTTTGCATACGCGGTCGGACGGCGCAGTGAGTGGATTTGAATACCTGAAAAGTAGCTCGATATGCGTGCATTGAGCCCTAACGTTTATCACTTGGGGATCTTATTATTTCTATTTATCCATGTCCATCTTGGTAATATGTAATACATCTTGCTACTAACTTGTGTATAACCCTTTTATTATTTCTACTTCAGCAATCCCCACAAAGGATATGGGAAATGTACAAACGTGTGAAGGAAAAACAGAATATTTTCCCTAGATCAATGATACTCAAAATCTTCGAAAAGTTCGATATGATTTTAAAAACAAAAATATTGCAAATTCATTCCGTCCAAATTTCTCATCGGTAAGTTCTTTTTATTACTTCTTTAAATCAAATAGATAACTATATACAGGATATCCTTTAATGGATTCCAATGTGAAGGTCAAGTGCTGAAGTCACGAGAAATATAAGCATGAAAACGTTCTATAGTTAAAATATAATTATAAATCTTATATCTTGTGGTCAGTGGCCGTCAAAGGTTGTACCATAAAAGGATGTACCATATATTTAGCCTTTATGGCTATCAACATAGATAACAAATAAATAGACATGACTGTTTCTTTAGTGGGTGAATTAATATGTTGATTTATTTCTAAATTTGCGTCATATATGAATTTCTTTACTGAGTTGACATTAGTTTGCTTGACCAGTACCGTTAATATCCTAGAACCTTAGCAACTACTCCGGAAACTAGTAGGAAGTTCGCTGGTATAACATGTCCTTCTAGTCTAGTATGATATGTTTCTGAAGTTTTGATTTGATTTTGATATCTCAATGAAACCTTGTCCAAGGAGGTTAACTATCTTCAGATATAGTGCTTGTATTAATCTTTCCGTGTTCCGCGTATGTTTTGAGGTTTATCTGAGTAGCTGCAGAATAAAACGATGTTACAAATGACGCAAAATGACAAAACATAAAATGTTTAATTCTGGTGCTGTCTTACTCTTTTTAACTTAACATCACGACCGCAAAATTTCCGTCCCGAAACATTTTATTATTTCTGCTTGAGGGTTCGAAACCAATACAGGCAACACACCACATGTAAACAACATACAAATGAGCATAGGAAATCATGGTTACTGGTGGAGCTTGTAACATTGTACGGTCATCTGAAACGCTAACATATTCTACAAATCTGCTCTATGACTATAAACATATGGATTTGAAGCTAAAACTTTAGCGTTTTGGGGAATTTCGATCTGATTTTTAACATAGTCGCATCACGTTTGGCCATATGTAATATGACTGTATAATGCGCTAAAAAATTGATTGTCGTCTATGTTCAATCATCGCATACTCTTTGACCTTTATAAACAACTGTGCATGTCACAGGAACCATTGTGAAATGGTTGTTTGCTACACTTTTCAAACATATATTCCCATACTGCTAAGATAGTACTAGTGGTACACAGTGTCGAGTCAAAGGTGCGATACAAAAGCATTGGGTGGAACATGTTCCATGTAATATTAGTTGGTGTGTATCTTGTTGCAGGTGAAATTCACAGGTGAAACACTGAAATACCGTCTACGTGTATTGGAAGAAGACGACATCGTTGCATTTCAAATAGATAATGTAACGACGGCAGACAGTGGGGAATATAATATCAGTTTGACCTATATCAACGGGGTCAAGAAGGGACGCATTGGACGTTTGGACGTGAAAGGTAATTGTTAACGTTGTGCTGATAGAAGTAATAATTATTTCAAGAGGTAGTCGAACCCTGTCACATCCGTGGGACGTAACACTACACATTGAGATGCGGCTCCTCAGATATGTGGAGCCTTAAAGCTGTTACAAACAATCATGGTCTAAAGATTAAAATGTCCTCTAATAATGGATTTGTCTACGACCCCACGAACGTGTGGAACACAATGTGTCCTTGTGTCATGTGTATTTTCTGTGAAATATTTCTGTTGAGTTGACACAAACTATTGCTCATCTTTGGAATTAATTAGAATCAACCATGAAATATATTGTAGTCATGATTGAAGTTCAAGTGCTGCATGCTGTTGCAATTAATTATACCATAATTGTTGAATTGAATAATTTAATTGACATAACGAATTTCAGTCTTGCAATTTCATGACAAAGCTCTATGATATTATATTGCAGAAAATGTCTTAGGGAACTTCAACATAACATGTGAAAACGACACAGAGACAGTCGTCTGTACATGTGGGAATAAGACTGGCAGCGATCTGTACACATGGGTAAAAAAACACTATTTTACTTACGTATTGTAACAGAATTTACAGAATATATCTTAATAGCTTCGCTCAAAAATGTATTGATTTTGCAACGGTATATTTGCAAAGTATATGTTCATTGACACTGGCACTGATTTTCCCTTATCTAATCTATTGGCTCTACTAAACATGAAGTTATGCCATTGTAAATCCTTTATCTGTTTAAATGTCACATGATTTTTCAATAACGAAGCAGCTCACTGTTTGGAGATTTCTATTGATACATATTTGTAACATCATGTCAATTCCTAACAAGTAGTGTTCTCATATGTCATTTGATGACGTTAAAGGTCTGTTCACTCGGTGGAAAGCAAAACGAAATTGTATGCACCATATCTTGTGCATATATGTTTGGATTTTTTGGCAATTCATGGCTGAGCTTGATACATCCACAAAACTCAAACATCCATACACACACAGCTCCGTCGTGCATACACGTTCACTTAGTCATGCATACACGTACCACTCACTCATGCATACACACACCACTCAGTCATGCATACACACACCACTCAGTCATGCATACACACACATCTCAGTCATGCAAAAAGAGACAACTCTCAGTGATTCATACACACACCCCTCAGTCAAATATATACAAGCAGCTCACTCATGCACACACACACATTCCAATCATCTATACAGACGCATCTCAGTCATGCACACACACGCATTCCAATCATCTGTACAGACGCATCTCAGTCATGCACACACACACATTCCAATTATCTGTACAGACGAACCTCAGTCATGCACATACACACACATTCCAATCATCTGTACAGACGCATCTCAGTCATGCACACACACACACTTTCCAATCATCTGTACAGACGCATCTCAGTCATGCACACACACACACATTCCAATCATCTGTACCAACGCATCTCAGTCATGCACACACACATTCCAATCATCTGTACCGACGCATCTCAGTCATGCACACACACACTCAATCATGAATATACACATATCTCAGTAATGCATTCACACATCACACAGTTATGCATTCACACACATCTAAGCCATGCATACACATATATCTCAGTCATGCATACACATACAGCTCAGTCAAATATAAACACACAGTGCAGTCATGCATACCACACACACATCTCAGCCAGGCATACACACACCACTTACGAATACACATACAACTGCTTACATGTACCACTCACTCACGCATACATATACCATACACACATGCATAGATATACCACTCAGATAGGCATACACATACCACTCAGTTATGCATACACACACCACTCACTCATGCATACATGTACCACTCAGCCAGACACACACACACCACTCACTCATGACTGCATACACCACTCACTCATGCATACACACACTACTCACTCATGCATACATGTACCACTCAGCCAGGCATACACTCACCACTCACTCATGCATACACACATCACTCACTCATGCTTACATATACCACTCACTCATGCATACATATACCACTCACTCATGCATACATATACCACTCACTCATGCATACATATACCGATCAGGCAGGCACACACACACCACTCACTCATGCATACACACATCACTCACTTATGCATATAAATACCACTCAGCCAGGCATACACACGCCACTCACTCATGCATACATAAACCACTCAGCCAGGCATACACACATCACTCACTCATGCATATAAATACCACTCACCCAGGCATACACACGCCACTCACTCATGCAAACACACACCGCTCACTCATGCATACACACACCACTCACTCATGAAAACACACACAACTCATTCGAGCACTCAGACGTATTTCGGTCATGCAAAGACACACACACACACCTCAGACACTCATGCACACAACTCAGTCATGCAAGCACTCACCACTCAATCATGCATACAAATTTATCCCAGACGAGCATACACACACATCTCAGTCATGCATACACACATAACTCACTCATGCATATATACACGAATCTCAGTCATGCATATACACACCACACACTCATGCATACATACACCTCTCTGTCATGCATTCACACACCACTCAGTCATGCATACCCACGCCACTCAGTTCTCCAAAGACACATTAGTCAGCTATGCATACACGCATCACTCAGTCATGCATACACACGCCACTTAGGCATGCATACACACCACTCAGTATTGGTTTCCAACCTTCAAGCAGAATAAATAAAATGTATGTTTCTGGACGGAAATTTTGCGGTCGTGATGTTAAGTTAAAAAGAGTAAGACATACCACAATTAAACATTTTATGTTTTGTCATTTTGCGTCATTTGTAACATCGTTTTATTCTGCTGCTACTCAGTTAAACCTCAAAACATACGCGGAACACGGAAAGATTAATACAAGCACTATATCTGAAGATAGTTAACCTCCTTGGACAAGGTTTCATTGAGATATCAAAATCAAATCAAAACTTCAGAAACATATCATACTAGACTAGAAGGACTTGTTATACCAGCGAACTTCCTACTAGTTTCCGGAGTAGTTGCTAAGGTCAAGGATATTAACGGTACTGGTCAAGCAAACTAATGACAACTCAGTAAAGAAATTCATATTTGACGCAAATTTAGCAATAAATCAACATATCAATTCACCAACTAAAGAAAGAGTCATATCTATTTATTTGTTATCTGTGCCATAAAGGCTAAATATATGGTACATCCTTTTATGGTACAACCTTTGACGGCCATTGACCACATGATATAAGATTTATAATGATATTTTTAACTATAGAACGTTTTCATGCTTATATCTCTCGTGACTTCAGCACTTGACCTTCACATTGGATTCCATTGAAGGATATCCTGTATATAGTTATCTATTTGATTTAAAGAAGTAATAAAAAGAACGTACCGATGATAAATTTGGACTGAATGAATTTGCAATATATTTGTTTTTAAAAACATATTGAACTTTTCGAAGATTTTGAGTATCATCGTTCCAGGGAAAATATTCTGTTTTTCCTTCACACGTTTATACATTTCCCATATCCTTTGAGGGGCTTGCTGAAGTAGAAATAATAAAAAAGGTTATACACAAGTTAGTAGCAAGATGTATTACATATTACCAAGATGGACATGGATAAATAGAAATGATAAGATCCCCAAGTGATAAACGTTAGGGCTCAATGCACGCATATCGAGCGACTTTTCAGGTATTCAAATCCACTCACTGCGCCGACCGACCGCGTATGCAAAAATACCAACACGCTCAAGGGAGGTAACGCATGGCATTTTCATTGTCAACTGATTAATTTCCCAACGTCGACGCGTTCGTGCAGACATTAATTTACGTATCTCTGTATCCTCATCTCTTCTTATAGACACCCTGCACACCCCTGATACACATGCATGCACACTTGCATAAACTAAAAAAAACCCCTCTTAGTCGTTTGTTTGTTAACGCCACACTCAGCTATATTCAAGCTCTATGACGGCGGCCTGTAAACAATCGAGTCTGGACCATGGAGTATCATGTTCTCATATTAATTGTCATAATTTACAAGATTGTTGTGTTATTGTGCATTTCAGAGGTAAAAAGTATAACACACATAACTCGTCATCAAATAAAACGAATCTAACCAGTAACTGTGTCACATCATTCAGCGATGCACATGCGTTCTGCTAAGTATGATTGACGCGTGTGTATGTATGGCTGAGTTGTGTGTGTGCATGGTGGAGTGTGTATGACTAAGTTGTAGGTATGTATGGCTGATTTGTGTGTGTGTGTGTGTGTGTGTGTGTGTGTGTGTGTGTGTGTGTGTGTGTGTGTGTGTGTGTGTGTGTGTGTTGTGTGTGTGTGTGTGTGTGTGTGTGTGTGTTGTGTGTATCATTGGCTCTGTTCCTCTGTATGCATGACTGAGTTGCGTGTATGCATAATTAAGTTGTGTGTAAATATGACTGAGCTGTTTGTATGCATGACTGACTTGTGTGTATGCATGGCCGAGTTGTATGTTTGACTGAGTTCTCTGTGTGCATGGCTTAGTTTTCTGTGAATGAATGACTGATTTCTATGTATGCATGGTTGAGTTGAGTGTATGCACAACTGAGTTGTATGCATGAATGAGTTGTGTGTATGCATGGCTTAGTTTTCTGTATGCATGACTGAGTTGTGTGTGTGCATGACTCAGCTGTATGTACGCCTGTCTGGTTTTATGCATGATTGAGTTGTGTGTTTGCATGACGGAGATTTGTGTATGCATGGCCGAGCTCCATGTATGTGTATGCATGGCTGAGTTGTAGGCATGACTTCGTTCCATGTATGTATAACTGGCTTGTGTGTATGCCTGCCTGAGTTGAGTCTTTGCCTGAATGAATTGTTTGTATGCCTGTTTAAGTTATGCACAACTGAGTTGTATATATATAACTGAGTTGTGTGTATGCCTGTTTACATTTTGTGTATGAATGACTGACTTGTGTGTATGCAAGACTGGGTTGTATATATATGACTGAGTTGTGTGTATGCCTGTTTACATTGTGTGTATGAATGGCTGACTTGTGTGTATGCACAACTGAGTTGTATATATATGACTGAGTTGTGTGTGTGCCTGTTTAAATTTTGTGTATGAATAACTGACTTGTGTATATGCACGACTGAGTTCAGCGTATGTATAACTGAGTTCCATGACTGAGTTGTGTGTAAGCATGCCTTAGTTTTCTGTATGCATGACTGAGTTCTATTTATGCATTACTGAGTTGTGTGTGTGCGTGACAGAGTTGTATGTATGCATGCCTTAGTTTTCTGTATGCATGACAGATTTCTGTGTATGCATGGCTGAGTTGTGTGTATGCATGGCTAAGTTGTGTGTTTGCATGACTGAGTTGTATGTATGGCTGGTTGAGTTGTATGTATGCATGGCTTAGTTTTCTGTATGCATGACTGAGTTGTGTGTATGCATGGCTGAGTTGTGTGTATGCATGGCTGAGTTGTGTGTATGCATTACTGAGTGGTGT